GTATACTAGCACATAGTTTCTCTAACCTTTACGTGTGCTTCAGTGAAAGCATGTGGAGAATTTAAATGAAACTGTATGCTGCATAAGTAATCCAGCCTCATGCCTCAAAGTGGTATAGACAGGGGCAAATGGTGATTGTCACTACTGGAAGTGGTTTTCCAAGATATAGGCAGTTTCATGTTAATTGAAATGAAACCTTTTCACTGAACATTTACATTAACAAATCTATACTAGGAGTCTGTTGAGTTCAAGGTCTCAAACGAATTATTCTAGGTACTGCATCTGTTGGGATATCTGCTTCCCTGTTTTCATTTAGGTAGGACCCCAGAAGATGAGTTCATCTGGCATGTAATTCTGCCTTCTGAGTTTGTTTTACAATAACCAGAAAAAGCTGCAACCTCTTGGTCGTGAGATGAATGACTATTATTAGAACTGTTCTCTCTTACCTTTTTAAAAAGCCATTCCTATGAAATTTTGAAATACTGTTGGGTGCTTAGAAAATCTTGGGAATGATTCTTCCAAAAGTGATCCTTCCAGGTCTGCCCCTGTATGGTAATACTTTGTAGTGTCCTAATAGTAGTAAGGTTTAATTTTTTAAAAAGCCTCTGCGTACATATCATGTTTTTATGAGTTTTCAAGAGCAGCGTTAGTGCCTAAAGAAGAAAAAGAGTGGGTAGGACTGACAGATTAAGCAGAAAACAAATTGGACTTGCAGATACAAGAGCATGACTAATCCAGAGATGACCTTACATTCATGTGGCAGTCTGAGATCAGGAGAACATTGTGTAATTTGAGAATATCCAGCATGAATAAAAGTTATGATTAACCTGCCATGATTATTCAGTGATATACTTCAGAGTAGGTCATTCAGGACCCAAGCTTTACTTACTAGCTTGGCCTCTTTATTAACTTTATATGTTTCTAATTTTTTTTTTTTTTACTTCTCTAAAATCTCAGTGTCCTCAGCTATAAAATGGAGCTATTAAAACTGTTTCTTTAAAAAAAAAAAAACCTGTTTCTTTTAAAGGTTATTGTGCTGCTCTCTGAAAAGAATAGTCATTGTTACTCTGATCATGCTGTTCTACAAGGCTTATCATTTCCCCCTTGCAACTTTTCCAGAGATTTCCTACAGTACCAGGAATAGAAAAGGACTGTCAATGCACACTTGAGTGTGGTTTGGAATTGGTGATCTGAATTGTGACAAAAAGGAAAGTGGAATTAGGACAATACAGAAAATAGGAGCCAGGTTATTTAATAGTTGGCCAATGTCTTGACTTTTTTTTTTTTATGGGAATTTGTCTTTAAAAAGCTGCCTACTCTCTCTGGAATTTGGACAACTTGATCAGAAACATTACAGTTCCTGATTTTAGATCAGACAGCAAGGATTTATATACATTTCCTTTGCCTCCATCCATCCATCCCTCCCTCCATCTGCCCGTTCAGCTAGCCAGCAACATTTACTGGGGCCCAGGTAAATCCAAGCTAAGCATTGGCCAACACTCAGCCTGGAAAACCTCAGAAGGAACTGAGAGAGAAGGAAAACATAGTTACCCTCTTTAAAGAACACATAGCCTATGACAGCTATTTACTGCCTTTCTCAATTTTAAGATGATAGTGTACACACTAGAGATAATAAAATCAGATACCGAGTGATTTGGACCCTTTCATAAGGCTGAATCATCTGCAGCATCCTTGACTGCCAGTCGGTGTCTCTGATTTCATTTTGAGCGCCCTTGACCATGCTGTGAATAGTACACGTGCACTGTATTGTGTAATATACAAGGACGTTGGTATTAGTACAGTTGCTTCCCAACCTATTTTATATCATGGCACACATAGAAAATGATATTTTTATGCCACACCAAGGTAATTGGACAAGGTCGGGGAGGGCAGGGGGGAGGGGAAGGGGGGAGTATGTTTTCACACCTGTGATGCATCTGCAGCACACCTGTGCACTATCAGGTACATTCCAGTTGGAACACTTATTACTTAATTATCCCCAGGTTGTGCCTTCTTTGCTGACCCAGGACCTTACTTAAATTTATTTGGTCTTGAACACTTTGAGTACATTAATTACAGTGGCCACATGATACAGTTTAGTAAGGGAATGTATAGACTTTAAGGATTACAAAGAAAAATATTGGAGTGAGAACTTTACTGTAGGTCGAAGACAGCTTCTTATAATGAAAATAGGCTGGCTTGGGAATTGAGAGCTCTGGACTTCAGTGCTTAATGTGATCACGTTTGGCAAATCACTTCTCTCTCTGAACCTCAATTTCCTTGGATAAGGAAATGAAGGGGTTTGAACAAGATGAACTTTAAGTCATTCTCTAACTCTGATATGCTGTGGTTTTAATTTTTTTTTTTTTTTAAAGAGAGCATGCACATGCAGGGGAAGGGCGGAGGGAGAGGGAGAGAGAGAGAAATTTAAGCAGGCTCCACACTCAGCAGGAACCCTACCGGGGTTTGGATCTCACAACCCTGAGAGTCAGACACTCAACTGACTGAGCCACCCAGGCGCCCTGACATGCTGTCGTTTTGTAGTGCCTGTGCATCTTTGCTGTTAAGTCAACTGCTCTTCATTGAGTGTGTACTCTATGCTGGACACTTGGTCAGTGGCTTTTGGCACATGCCTAAAGCCAGCTTCATGGGGCTCCACTGCTTCAATGCTAGAGGAATTGAAATCAAACTAAGATGCTTGATGAAGAAAAAAATGATAGTGAATTGGGTGTCTGAAAGGAATGAAGCTAACTATAATAATTGAAAGTCCTTCAAGGTATCTTTTACATGTGGTTCAAGATTTCCCATCTAGCTAAATGCCTTGCTTGATAAACTGACAACCCTGGCAGCCTCAACCTATTAGGATAAGTTTTCCTAACTTTAATTTCCAGAAATACCTATTCAGATACATCAACCACTTAAGCATGTGTACAGAAACCAAATATTGGTTGTCCAACTTGGTGAAAGGAAAGTTAGTGTTAAGACTCCCATTAGGAATTTTCTTTTTCAATATTTATCTGAGTCCTTTCTGTTTAGCATGTGTTGGGTGGATAAGGCTACCTATGCAGAGCACCAGAGAAGACCTATAAGAATGAATAAATTATCAAGGACTAGCCGCATCATGGTGATGATGGTCATTTGCCCTGATTATAGACTAAAATGTTAGCATTTGTTCATTCCACAGAGATCATTGTTTATTTACCATGTGTCAGAAATTCTAGGAGCTAGAAATTAAAATCTGAGAGCTTCCTGATGCACTCAAACACAGACATTAATGATGTGTTGTTAGCTTTAGAACTTTTTAAAATAAACACATCAGTAACTGATTTGTGTTCAAAATTCTCCCTTACTTCCTATTGTCCATTGGCATACACTTAGTCACGTATCAGATGCACTAAAAAAAAGAACAAAACTAAAATAATGCATCCACATATCAAAAAATACTTCTAAGCAGGGGCTCCTGAGTAGTGCAGTTAAGTATCTGACTCTTAAGTTTGACTCTTGGTTTCAGCTCAGGTCATGATCTCAGGGTTGTGAGAGGGAGTCCTCCATCAGCCTCCATGTTGAGTGGGGAGTCTGCTTGGAATTCTCTCTCTCCCTCTCCTTCTCCCCTTCCCCTCTAAAATAAATAAATAAATAATTATTTTAAAAAAAGTACTTCTAAGTATATAAAAATTCACCCAATAATATACCCGTAAGAAACACGATGTTTCAGATATATGCACAAAAGGATCCTTATGCACATATATGCATGTGTTACATAATTTGCATATGTGTGTGATACTTACTAATGCATGTTCAAAAAGGATATTTGAGCCTAGAGGGTAAATAAAGAAATCTGGGTTTATGTCAACCCATATGCATGTTTGTGTGTATGGAGTGAGGAGGAGATTAGGAAGGAAAGAAGAAGCAATGGAGTGGAAGAAGAGAAGCAAGGGAAAAAATAGTCAGTGGTCTTAGAAGGAACCGCAGAGTTAGTAAATTTTACCTTAACTCCCACCACCCCATCTATCTTTCTTACATTGAGCAGCAGCTAGTGTACCATTACTCATTCCATCAACAGAGGTATCATCGGAATTAAGCTGACCACTACCCAAATCAAACAAAATGAAGAAAGAATAATTTCAGTTTAAAAAAATATAAAAATAACCAGACGTTAGAAGTGGTACTTATGTACTCCAACTGTGATAAAGAAAACTTACTGAAAGTCCTTCCAAAGCAGAAAAAAAATTAAAATCTCAGGGAATTTTTTCCTTTACTGGCCAGAATCTCATTCCAAGAAGTACCAGCCTGTCTCATTTCAAAATGCTTCCCTTGCCAAGGAAGCGGAAGCGGTCATATTCTTTCCCACCGAACTATGGGTGAATTATAATTATCCTACCTCTTGTGGGACAATGAAGCAGCAAACATCTGCTATACTGAATCAAAAACCCACGAATGAAACTGTACCAAACTGTGAATCATACCTGGACTCAGATTAAAGGTTTTGTGTTGTGTTTACCTTTTTCTTTATTTTCTTTGCAATTTAAAATATGGATTTGTTAGCTCTGGCTCCATGTTCTGAGGGAAAATATATGTATTCCATTCATTGACTCCAATTTTAACACTGAAAATCCTCAGCTTTAAGGCTACACATGGGCAATAATGATTAACAGGTTTCTGTTTGTTGTTATGACCTCAAAGTTTTTCTTTAAAAGGATGATACAATTGAGAAAATTTAAAAGTACACAATATAAGACATAAAATCTTTTAGCTTTTTCACAATAATGACAATAACAGAGGAGAAGAAAATGACATTTTAAACTTTACTTCCAAAAACACAAGCTTCAAAACTACTGTAACTTATCATAATTTTAAGTATCATGATATTTATGTAGTATAACACTGTTTATTTAAAGGCAGGAAGGAAAAATGGAATTTCAATTCTACATTTTAGCCAAGAAGACATATATAATGGTCTACTTGCTCTGAAAGATTGTTTGTGTGTCTTTATCTGTTAGAGAGCAGAAAGACAGACTCGAATTATGGATTCAGCTCAATATGCAGAATTCTGTGAAAGTCGACAATTAAGTTTCTGTAAGTAAATGTTTAATTTTGCTTCATTATATCTTTAAGAGATCATGTGTTACAGATATACTATACTATGACACAATCTCCGTTCCTTAGAAACTGGTGAATTTAATATATGCATAGTTATAACTGTTATAGAAACAGCCCCTGCATTGTAGGGGACTCTATAAAAGATTTTACCCCATTCACTGTTTTGTAATTAATAGTCTAAAGAGGTTTTAAAGGGTTTTAAAGCAATACACAGAGCCCCATGTTAATTATTCACTTTACTTTTGGTCCAAAAAAATCCATTTTCTTTAACATTCTCATTTTAATTTATTTTCCAGTTTCTTCATCTTGTTTACACTACTATTGCTAATTGTACTTGACCCATAATGGACTCTAGTTGTACAGTCAGGACATTCAAAAGCCCCTAATATTAATAAATACCAAGCATTCCGTTTATTTATGCATACTCATATGACTACAAAAAAAAGTACCAATAGTCTCTTCCATTTTTGTCTGTAACCTCCTACTGTGACAAGCATTCAGTGTTATCCAAATCCTTTAGTCTATGCTCTTGTAACACTGGTAACCTAGTGATAAAATTAGTACTGTCCCATCACTGCACACAGGCTTACTAAAAGTACATACAGGCTCATGATAAATAGTGGGCTCAATTGTGTAGCAGACATCTTTACCGCAACAGTTCAGTGATGACTAAGCCTCTCAGGGGAAAGGTCAAAGAGTAAGTGTGATGAAAAGTCCAGTAAAAATCTGACGGAGAAACACATGACCCTGGTCTGAGTGATTATAGACACAATGGTGTCTTTAAATGGAAAAACTGTCCTGTGGTCATAATAACAATGTATTTGATTTGGAAAACAGAAAATGAGAGCTTCATTATAGATCATAAAGTGCAAATAAATGACACATTTCAAATAGTGCCCCATGTAAATGTCAGTAAAATATAGGAAAACATGTTTTGGAAGCTTTTTTTCCTCACTAAATATACTTTGCAGTCTGACTAACAATTTGGCATCATACATCTGTGAAGCATTAAGTAAATGACACTTCAGATCATGGCAATTTCAGCAAATGAGAGGTTTTTGTATTGTAATTTTTAGGTTTAAAAATGGCATTCAAGTCTTTTATAAGTATAAATCTCTAGTTTATGAAGTAGCATTTAGTGTTATTGAACTATTTTTTAAAATCATATTTTAAATTTAATTCACTTAAAGGAACAGAAGTGCTATTTCACACTAAAACATATAGCCACTGACATGTCCTTATACATCTTGTGTTTGAAAGTCACATTTGTTTAGAACTCAATAATAAAGTATAATAAATTAAAAATGAATGCTTTAGTTGTTTAAGCAGTATATTCTTACTTTTTTTAAAGAAGAGGGATTTGGGCATTTAAAAATATTTCTTTGTATGATGCCCACAGGTGCTTCATTATGAAACCCTAGTGGAAGAATCTGTTTTATATGCCAAAATACGGTGGCTGGGAATGCTTAATCCAAGTGGGTCAGCAAATTCAGAACTAATAACCCACACCGGTCAGAATGTTAGGCTCTTTTCATTTCTCCCCTTCTGATAAATTACCAGGATATAGGAATTGTGATTCAGCTGTATGTGTCTTCTTAAATATTTGATCATAGCATTCACTGATTGGGACTACTGGTGCATTTTAAAAGTTACAAGTCTATGACTTTTATAGACTGAAGGTAAGTTGCAGAATTGGAATACTGATCAAATTCACCAGTCTCTTGTTTTATAATTATGTAAGTTAGATAGTCATTTCCCATAAAGTCTCTTAAAATCTGATATTCATATTAATTCACAAAGCTTAAATTTAGTTATAAATTGGTAAATCTTTTTCCAAGCCTTTCAGTCTTTTTTTTTTTGTATGTGGATTTTGTAAACAAATATATAGATTTTCTTTTTAGTCAATCTGAGAGTCTTTGTATATTTTAATTGAAGATTTTAATTTATGTGTGTTTAATTACTTCAATTTACAATTTTATTACAATACATTGGGTTTATATATGCTGTCTTTGTATTTTAAATTTACTGTACTCTTTTTTTTTTGCTTTTCCTCCTCCTTTTCATTATTCTGTTGGATTAATTGGATTTTCTTCATTCCATTTTTCCTCAACCAGTTTGTGTAGTGTATATTCTATTATTTAGTTGCTATCCTTAATTTTTTTAATATTCATGCTTGACTTAAATTTTTTAAAGTTGGTAATCAGTAAACATGCCTTGTCAGCCTAATTTTGTTTTTCTTAAGGCTCTTTAAGTGCTTAAAGTACTCATTTTTGTCTTAAAAATGCTTTATTTTGCCCTCATATTTAAATGGTAGTTTAGTTGGGTAGGAAATCGTGGGCTAGTAGTTATTTGTTAAAACAGGGTACCATTGTTTTTTAGCCTCTGTTGTTAGTAAGAAGTCTCTATCTGCTTGTCCTATGGAGAAACTAAGAGAATGAAGATATAACCCCCAAGGCCCTCTGGTGTATGGGAAAATGAACAGGCTGGCAGTCAATGACTGATCAATAAATATGTACAGAAGGAAAGAAAGAAGGAATTTCTTATAAAAGACTCCAGGGAAAACCATGTCCTCTGAGAAAGACTATTTGTAATTAATCCAAAATAGCAGTAATTATGAAGAGATTGAAGTTACTGAAGAATTTCTTCAGAGTGGAATAAGCATTACAGAGAGCCCTAAGAGAAAGATCAGGAATGGAAAGACTGGTGAGAGGAATGAGGTAGAAATAGTGAGATAGCATGCAGGGATGTGAAAATGGGATATTGAGAAAAACTTAGATTTTACTGGTGATCCACAATGAGAAAGAAAAAAAGTATATGAGAATTAACTAACTTTAAACATCCCATATAAAGTTATTATATAAAGTTGTTTTAATTCCAGCACAAGCTGAAAAACCAGGTAGTGTCAAAAGGCTGATAATCTTAGGAACTTCTGACCTTTGTTAAGGATGATATTTAAATTGTTGATCAATTTCCACGATACCCTTACTCCTGATATATTGAGAAGAATGGTAAAGGTGAAGGAACTCATTCATGCATTCTGGTGCCCCCTACCTCTTGATGGAAACAAACTGTTATGACTAAGGACATCTGTACCTGTCTTACTAGAACCAGCAATACTGTAGGAAGGTCTGTTTCTGAAGCAGCCCTTCTCCAGGTGTGACAGAGAATTATTTCAGGGAATGTTCACCTGTTGCTGAAATAGCAGTAACTGACAGTGGTTTTATGGGACTCTCTGTGTACCTTTTTTGCTACAGAAAACTTGACACCCTACCTTTTTATTTATTTTTATTTTTTAAAAGATTTTATTTATTTATTCATGAGAGACAGAGAGACACAGAGAGAGAGAGAAGCAGAGACACAGGCAGAGGGAGAAGCAGGCTCCATGCAGGGAGCCCTACACGGGACTCTATCCCGGGTCTCCAGGATCACGCCCTGAGCTGAAGGCAGGCACCAAACCGCTGAGCCACCCAGGTTGCCCGACACCCTACCTTTTTTATTAAAGAAGCATCTGTCATTTGTTCCTTTTTTTTCTAGAAATATTTGTTGTGAGACTACTGAAGTATGTAGGTGCTGGGGGATACAGTGGTAGACACATGATCCTTATCCATGCATTCTCAGTGCTTAACATCTAGTGAGCGAGCTACCAATTCTGTTGCTTAAGTTGAATACTAAGAACTATCTATCCTCCTCTCTTTGAAAATAAATTGTTTAGAGCATAGTCACAAAATACCTGTTTCTGTGTTCTTAACAACCTGTCAAAGGGAGAAGTAACTAAGGTACATTTTATTGACTTGCCAAATTGCTGCCTGTTAACTTTGACTTCAGAAGTATTCCACAGATGTTAAACAAGTGTTTGTGAGCTATTGCAGCTTACTAGTTAGATGGAATGTTGCATGTCAGAGAATATGGGAAGATTACGTTAGGGAGATAGCTTTAAGAGGATTATCATAATTCTGCCACAGTTGACAGCTTTGGACATGTACTTCGATAGCAAGGCTTCAAGTCTTCTGTGATTTATCGAAAAAAAAAACTCTTCTATACACAGAATCTATGAAAACTGTATCTGTAAGGATCGAAACATCATGCTTTGAGTGACATTACATGTTTTAATAGATCCGTAGGACCAGATTAACCAAAAGAATAATCAGTGGATTTTTAAAAAATTATGTCATAGATGTGATAAAATCTTAACCATCAATCTCTTCCCTGTAGATTACTAGTTAAATTAGCAATGTCTAATAAAGGTTCTGCATCAGGTTAAACTCTGTTTAGCACTGTGGCAATTAAGAGATATTTACCAGATGGTTCCACACACACTTGGTACTGTTAGGTATGCAGAGAGACATGATGCATGGTGTTTGCCCACAAAAAACTTCTAATATGGTTCGATAAATCATAAGCAGATGTGAAAGGATATCTGATGATATAAGAATTCAGTAAATGACTAGTGTGGGGAAGTACACGGTACTAGCAGGATTCATGTGAATGAAGAGAGATGGGATGGCATTCCATGGAGGGAAAGGAGCAGGGGTGAACAGAGAGAGGGCTAGACTCAAGGCCAGGTAGCATTTCAGTAGGAAATAATACAAAGACAGGTTGAAATCAATCTGAAGGGTTTTGAGAGTCAGTCTTAGGAATTTGGACATCTTTGTAGTCAGGAAAATGTAATTGCAAGCTTAAGTTTTTTCTACTGTATTCTAAATGTGTGACTTTGTTTTTTTTTAATAATAAATTTATTTTTTATTGGTGTTAAATGTGTGACTTTGAACCTATTCTAGTAACAGACAATTTTGAAATGCATTGCAAATTCAATTTCTCTGTATTCTTTCTCCATCATGGGTTTTTTCTTGCAGGAATTTCTTTCCACAAGAATAAGGTAAAGCTATATCAGGTAACCCCTCTGACTATTGTTAAAACATAAGCTATGGCTAGTCATAGCTTATTCTGACACTGCGAGAAGTGCTAAATATTAAGTCATTTAGTATACTGTGTTATGTAGCAAATAACAAAATCAAAGACCCAAATGCATAAGGAATATCTTGGGGCTTGAATATCTCAATGATAACAAAACTTCAAAAACGTGGTGTTTTATACGCATTGTTTTTCAAACGCAGTTTTCAAGAAATGTATCTTTCATTTTGCAATAGTAATATGCAGTATTGAAACACTTCAAAAACTAAGTTTTCCATATTTGTTTTTTTGATGGCTAGCCAAAAAAGCCTCCAAATTTCGAGACTGGTTGGACTGCAGCAGTATGGAGATAAAACCCAATGTTGTCGCAATGGAAATTTTAGCATATCTAGCATATGAAACTGTGGCACAGGTAAGAATTCTAGTATCTGTAATAGCAGGCCACATGACTGCTTTCTTCTTATCCCTGTTCATGATCAAAGTTCCTCCACCTGCTACTCTACCTGGAATGAGAACAACCATGAGTTTTATCTTATGACATTATAATCATTTTCTGAAATTTAGTTCAGTTTTGTTTCTTTGTATCTTAAGCCTTGGTGGATGTTAGGGTAAACATGATTCTTGCTTGTAACTTTATCCTAACCAGAAATGGAACCCCATCTCAACATTGAATTCTAAGTACACATCCATCTGCCTTGTTTAGAGATTAATTTTGAGCTTTGAAATCTAGATTTTAAATCTATCTACATATCTAGAAAGGTATGTACAATCTAATGAGTGCTTGCCAAAACCTGAATCTAGAATCACTGCTCTCTGACAGCTTCTCAAAGCATGGTTCTCTGACCACAAACATCAGCTTCTCCTTGCTTCTTGTTTAAAATATAGAATTAGAATCTCAGTGTTTAGAGCACAGAAATCTCTATTTTGAAACACTTCCCTAGTGATTATTAAACAAAGTTTGAGAAGCTCTCCCCTAGAAAGTCAGAATACATTGTTTATATTCATAGGTAGGACCACTTATCAATGAAAGCATATGCTCACATCCACAATACAGATTTTTAGCAGACTGTATTACCAACAACATTTGGAATATATAGCTTTTAGTTTTGCCACTTCAGTTGACATTGGTGATTATTTCCAGCTATGTGATTTTATTTTTATTATTCTGATCTTCTAGTTAGTGGACCTTGCTCTTCTTGTGAGACAGGACATGGTAACCAAGGCAGGAGACCCCTTTAGCCATGCCATTTCTGCAACCTTCATTCAGTATCACAACTCTGCTGAGGTAAGTAGCAAAAAATCTATCTTTGACACCTCTATGGATTTTTCATGTGTCTAGTGTTTACGTTAGTAGTTCTTTGAAAAAGATGATGTAGGAATGTATAGCCTTTAATCAGAAATCTTAACACACTCAACATTCAAACAGTTACCGAGTACCTCCTCTGTTCCCGGTCTTAACAATCCACGTAATACAATTATTTTTTCACCTTTTTCTTGCCTTTCTTAGTCCCTAGCCCTTCAGTAAAAAAGGGATAGTTGGAGCACGCCTCTTTTCCATGGGAAGTGAACAACTGATTTGGGCAACTGAACAATTAGAGAATAGTTCTTTATTTCTTTGTGCCTCAAAGACAAGAGAATCATTATTATTCCTGTCCTAATAACTCCTGACATTTATTAATAATTGTATTTCCAGTTCTTGACCTATCTCTAAACATTATTTAAAGAAGCATGGCCCCATTTATTCTCCATATTCACCCTGGCCCTATCATGTGAGGATCACATCCTTTGTGTCCAGTTTGTGTTGCTGGGATCTCCACTTACGAGGGTTATAAAGTCATCTTGCCAACTTTAAAGCGTCGTGCAATAACTCTGTACCATTTGTAGTATAAGAAAATTTCTCTGTGAGCAGCATGTGCCTACAA